CCCATACATCCTCACCCCTTGCAGATTCTGTAAACTCCTCCTTTTACAACAGGCATCCTCCCGTCCCTTCAGCCTCCTCTACCCCCACCACTCCAAAGAATGGGTTTGAGTTCTTCTCCCATGGCAGCCATTCTCCAGGCCAACACCCACTTTCCCTCTGAACCCGATGGACTGGCTGTGCCGCACCCCCTTGAGTAACCTGACCAGACAATTCCAGATGACATGTGTCCAGACCCCCGACCAACAGCTGTATGTTTCCCTGACCACATTAGTCCTGCCCCCGGTCATGGCTATGGAGCCATTGGACTGACTGTGACCCACTCCCAGGACTGTAGGAGCACAGACCCTGTGACCAAGATGCCTGCACTGGTATTGGAGGTTGCCTTTGACTTGTTTTGTCTATTCCGGCTTTCTTCCTTTGAACTGCTAAGACCTTTTTTTTAACAATTCTTTTCAGAGCCTGATGGCCCAAACTTTTCTCAGCTTTGAAACTTGAAGATTTCTATCCAAACTCTCCTGACTCAGAATGTCCACAGGCTAGAAACCACTTTTGCTGAGAAGGCTGGTTTTCCCCTGAGCAGAAATATACTCTTGTTTCTTCTGAAGTGAACTGAAAAAGAAAAAAAAGGCTCTCCTTTTACAATAAAAATTGTCCTTTTCTGTACTGAGACCTTGATCCTTTCATTCCAAAGTCAAAACAAAACTAATTGCCTTAAGATGTCTACTCTGCTGTCATAACCCCAACCATATAATCATTTTATCCATTAATATCACAGGGGTCTTCTAAGCCGTTAGCTGAAGTTACATTCCTTCTTAGAAATGATGCATTTAGGTCACTGTTTCAAATTGACTTTCTGACCTTCCTAAAAAAAAACTTCACAGACGTGACCCCACATCAATCTGCCTCTGTTTTTAAATAAAAATCAAAAAAAATGTGAAATATAGATATTTTTGAATAGGATTTCCTCATCCACACTAGACTATTTCAGGCTTTAAGAAACCCATGCACAACAGAAGCCATATTCTCTTGTGATTACACAAGGTAAAGACATGTCCCTTGAGGTCCAGATAATGAAGGAGTGAACTGACACACCAGCAATGTGAGGGACCCAAATTCCTGTCATACTAGAGAGAGTCTCCAGTATAGCCAACATAGCCAACATAGCACTGGAGCCCTGATTCTGGAAATCTCATCCCTGAGTCTGGCACCTACCATTGTTAGAACATCGAACATAGCACAGGAATGGACACAATAGCACAATGTTGTGCCAAACATGATGCCAAGGTAAACTAATCCCTTCTGCCTGCCCATGGTCCATATCCCTCCATTCTTTGCATATTCATGTGTTTATCTAAAAGCCGCTTAAAGGCCCCTATTGTATCTGCCTCCACCACCATCCCTGGCAGTGCGATCCATGCACCTACCACTCTCTGTGTAAAAAAAACTTGCCCCTCACATCTCCTTTATCTTTCCCCCTGTCACCTTAAATACATGCCCCTGTTGCTGGGGATAGTTGGGGGGTGGGGGATGATGGCCAGGTTGTAGTTTGCATATCTGTCGCTCATGGAAGCAGATGCAGATGTTAAAGTGCCTTCAGTCAAATCTAATTTTCTCTCATGGGATGTCCAAAACATTTTGACCTTCCAGAAGATGGCCATGGAGGTTGGTGGTGGGCATGACATGGAGTGGGTTGACGTGAATGGGGTTTGGGGAATGGCTGGGAGTGAGGGCTGCCTTTTGTTTTAGTTCCTTATTTTGCAACTGGGACAAAAAGCTGAATCACAAAGATGGGGTTCTCACACAACCTGTTCCAAAGCCCGCAGCCCCTGTGATTCTTCCAAATTCTTTTGGGGGCAGGGGGTGCATGATGGTCCCAACTCCTGTTCATACCAGTACCCACCATTACCACCATCCTGCCCTCTCCCCAGAACCAGCGAGAGAAAGGCAGAAGTCATCCAACACCAGGTTACAGTTCAACACGTTTATTTGTGACTTCACCTGATGAAGGAGCAGTGCTCCAAAATCTTGTGATTTCAAATAAACCTGTTGGACTATAACCTGGGGTTGTGTGACTTCTGACCTTGTCCACCTCAGCCCACCACCGGCACCTCCACATCACAGTGAGAGAAAGGCAGATGGTGAGATCCAAAGACAGGGAAGAAAGCAAGCTACAGCTCCTGGTAAAACCAGTCTGCCCCCTGCTTTAACACCTTCACTCAGGCCTGGGAGCTTCTTCCCCTCGTACTGACTATCCCCTCCACAGCCCCTATAACAGAGTTTTGGCATGACTCCAAGCTCAGGATTAAATCTCCCTCTCTCTCCCCCATTTCCTCGAGGAGATGGAGGGGGTCAGGCTGGGGCATGAGCGTGGGAGTATTGGGGGAATGTTTCTCTGGCTGCTGGCTTTGGGGAGT